CTGGCTTGCTGGGTATTGGAGCAGGGCGTGGAGCTTATTGGTCTTTATAAGAAGCTTCACTACAAAATTCAGTACCTGAGAGCCGCATAACAAGGGTTCAATGAAAACGTTACCGTTCCAGGTCGTGTTTGATAGTTTTAAGGATTATGAATCTTATTCGGGCTCAATGCTAGTGCAGGCTTGTACTTTTCTCGTTACATCTAGGTGCTTTCTTGTATTTTAGAGCCCAACATAAAAGTCTTGTAACCCTTGGTCCGCCTTCAATGAGTCAAAGTTAATGCCAAAACTGGCGATTAAAATATTTCGATTGAGTCAATTCTAGTCACCAAGCCATGTGAATGACCCTACGAATGAATGATCCTATGAATGAATGATCCTACGAATGATGCTGCGCAACTGAAGCCTATATGAAGCTACCGTTGCCAGTGCTAACTGCACTAACTTGTTCGGTATGAATAACTTGCTTTTGATAAATGCGAGAAGATAAATGCATTTGACATGATATTTATCATTAATTAAACTAATTTGGTAACTGCATATTGTCATAATAAATGACAATTTTTGTTACTTTATTCAAGCAAACTAGCTACTGCATAGTTGCTCCAAACCAAAGACAATTATATTTACGTGTGTGTAGTATAAGCCTCATTTGTTCTGCAACTTATGCTCGAAATAGACCGATCGCTCATGATTCAGTGCTGCAGTATAGATGGGCACTTTGATGCGAGCCTCGATATCTAACTATCGTGCTCGCAGCAGTCCAGGGCACTAAGTGGCCGTTATTCACCGAATTGGTCAAAGATTAGACGATTAGACTGACTTATTAGGCAGGCGGATAAGAATGGACTCGCGCAGTTGTATCAAAGTAAGCAAAGTGCGTGCGAAGTTTTGCCATAAAGGAACGCTTTTCATGATCTGAGGTAAACCGGTAAGTGCTTTACATCTTTTATTTGAATTGACGCCGTTCAAATCATAAAAATTCAGTTGCTTAAAGGGAGATAATGAGCTTCCTTTTTTCTTAAAGGGACCCTCCCACCTTAACATTAGATTTGAGTTGAGATAGCCAAAATGGGGTCCCTGGCTCACAATTACCGGTTTCGGCACTCACAACATCGAGAAATGCCTTAAATCGGAAATATTGAATTTCAAAATTGCAGCATTTTGATTCAGAGGGGCTAATGCTTAGGAATACCCCTCTGAATGTGTGACGTCAGCGCAAATATCTAACGATTTTTAAATGTTTGACTAAAACGTTTTGTAGCACGCGGTGGTATATGCTATTTGCGCGCAACATCTGCCGCAAACGCCGCACTTCTAAAATAAAGTCGCTAGAAACAGCGGAGATCCCAAAAAAGTAAACAAAAGTAAAAGTCTAATATCTTGAAAACCGGTAAATATTTTTCGGTGAAATTTGGTAGATATTCGTTTTCGCTCTTTCTGAACCGAGCGACATCACTTTCATGCCAATTCATAAACTTTTTTGAAGGTGGGAGGGTCCCTTTAAATAAGATTTTTTCGACATCCATGCTATTTTTACTGTGGTTTCTATAAAATATGAAAATTTCCTAGCACATTTTCGTATGTGAAAAATGATTTTTATTTCTGCAAAAAGAAGCAGTACTTGCAGTACTTGCAACATCCACCGAAATGCGCTGCCCTTCTCTATAAAAAAGGCGCAGTGTATGGCACTTTTGTTTCAAACAGCGACGCTTGGGTTTTTGTTTATGTTACCGTTTCTTTATGTTGTTAGCTTGGTTGTCAGTGTCGTGTGTAGGGCGTTGGTTGTAGGTGCATAGTACCCTACAACCAACGTGTGTAGGTACTGTGGCCATTCAAATAAGATGGAACGCAGCTACGAAATTTATGTCATCCGGTACACATGTATTTCGACTCACTGGTATTCTACGAAAGGTAATGTATTTGTATCAATATATGAAAGAATCTTTTGACATACTGACTAATGAAATAACTTAAACCAAATTCTTCCGAAAATAAAGAGCAAGACTGTTCTCTCATTCGTTCCTGATTTAAAATGAGAAATGCTGCAACTAAATTATGTATTGTCCGGTACCTAATAGTTAAAAGCATTCGTACACGTCGAAAAAGCAAATGTATAAGAAAACCGTTTATTCACGAATCGACCATAAAGGCAGCAATCAATTAACCCTCGCCCGTAAACGGCGATCTGCCACCTTCGCCCATGCAGGGGGGGGGGGTGCGACCCCCCCTTGGCGTTTGAAAACGGAGCGTCGTAGAGCTTAGCGGAAAAGACCAACGGATTGCTCTCGCCGAGATCTCGCGATTGGTGGTATATTTTTTGGTCCTAGGTCAACATTTGACCTACTTTTGACCGGTCAAAGGTCAAATTTTCGGAAAAATAGACTTTTTTCAACTTTCGGCGGCGATTGCGGCAAAACGGTGGGAGACATCGACTTGAAACCTTCACTATCGTGTTCCTTGATCAATTCTCTATCGTTTGGTATGTATTTCGTTTCCCTAGCTCTAAAAATGGCGCGTTGGGAGCGCCGGAAGTCGGCAAGGTCACAGTCGGCGGCAGAAATTCGAAAAATCAAAATTTAAATTTTTGAAATCTGATTGTATTTTTGGATTTGGGATGTCCATTTGCTCCCTATAGAAGCTAATATTGCTGCATATTCCCATTGAGGTAACAAGAATTAGCAAAATAGTGGTTCGGGCGCTTTTCAAAAATAGTACCGGACGCTGTTCCTCTTGTGACGTCATAGCTCCGTGACCTGACCTGACCCGGTCAAGTTTCTTATACCATATGATAGCCAATACTTGCCCCAACATGCATGGGAAGTTTCATCACGATCCATCGACCGATGTCCGTACCACCGGCAGGAAACCTCGGGCGTTGGCACTCAGTTTGTGAAAATCCGGCCGGAGGCTGTTCCCTTTGTGACGTCATAACTCCGTGACCTGACATGACCCGGTCAAATTTTTTTTTATCAAAAGATGCGCAAGGTTTGCCCCATAAGGTACCCAAAATTTGGCGGCGCTGCGCGCCGCCGTTTTTGCACTATTTCCGAAAAACCTCAGGGGGGGGGGGTTGCACCAACCCCCCCCTACATGGGTTAAGATAAAATTTTCAAATATTATTTAATTTTTACTCACCGATTTTACTTAAACCTGCAAGCACTTGCTCACCCATCACTACCAAGCGCGGAGCGCTTGAGCTACTTCAACTGAAAAAAATGGTAATTTTGTGATTTCGGCAAAATGCAATGAATTTACCTTATATTTATACATTTTCTACTAAAAAATGGTTCAAACTCCAATAAAGTGGGAAAAGGCCATAATCTCCCTTTAATTTTGTTTGGTTGATTGTACGATTTTTTCTTCAAATGAATGATAAAGTTAACTGATTTCAAAATAGTTTCTTTCACCATCCTCTCAAGACGAGATTGGTCTTTGAGCCGTGGTGACTGGTGAGTGAATATAAGTGTTTGGCTTGCAGACCCATACCACTGCATTTTCCAGTGCCGCGCCCGCTTGCGATGCTCGCCGGGTGCAGTTTTGACTGCCCATGTCTGGCGCCGTTCCCCTGGTTTCATGGCGCGGTGCGTCCGGGCCTCGTGCAATCTTAACGAGACGCCGGTGGATGTTAATGCATAATGGGTCGTCTGGTGGCGTGCAGAGATGCCGCACCACGTGTCACACGTGCCGCGCACGAGCCACGCGCCCTATGTGCCCGACAGCAACACCTGCCCACGGCCGTTCGGCAGTTGAGTGGATTTGAGACGCTTCAAAAATGCATCCTCAGGTGTCGCCTGGGAGGTGAGATGGACACAGTCTTGCTGGATGACCGCCCCAAGAAAGTGATTCATTGTTACCGAAATAATAGCAGGATGAACTTCAATATTAAACAATTCATTAATCACAAACTATGCTGCGATCCTGCTTGTTTTAGAGGCACTTCACAGGACTTATTGTGGTGTACGCCAGGGCTGCGGAGTCGGAGTTTCAAAAGAAAAGTTTCAAAAGAAAAGTCAAAAGGAAATTTCAAAAGAAAAGTTGAAACGATTTCTGGGGATGGTCTTTAAAAATGTTTATTGTTTATCCAGTGTATTTCTAAAGAGGTCTTAAAAATAAATTTTGCGAAAAGATAGGAACAAAATATCTTTCGTGAAGTTTAAGTCACTATTCAGCGAACCGGACAAGTGGACTCTATGACTGACTAGCAACATCAGTTGTTGGTAAAACCATTCAGGAGTATGCTTTTAACTCTTTAACTCTTGCTTTTAATGCTTTAAATAAAGGTGTTGGGAGTTGGGACAGAAGCTTGCACCAACTCCGCTCAATGTCCTCTGTGTTACGAACACTTAGCGTGTCTTTTTTAGTAACCAACTTTAAACCAGGTTTCGTCGAATTCCTCCAGCACCTCACCGGGTGATATCGAGCCACAAGTATGGGGCCTCGGCACGCTACACACAGGATATTTTATAAAAAGATACACCACATACCGGCCGGGGCAGCAGGTCGCCGGTGTGGGTATAACTACAGTCCACAGGGCCCATTACCATGGCGCGGGCCATGCAGGGACGCCTCCACTTGCCAGAACCAATGTCACATGAATGTGCTAACAGATGGGGACAAGGCCGTCTAGGATATAGGAGCGGTTTCAACGACAACGACACCTGGCCTCTGAACAATAAAACGAATCCTGCGAACCGCCGAATCAGTGAATTTACAGCTCGTCAACGGACGGTCGGCGGCGCAGTGATCGATAACATTTGCTGCCACCAGAATCGAACATTTCCGCGAAAACCAATTAGACTTTTTCATTGCGGGCATGCACAAATTCGCAGGCTTTATGATCGAGATTAACAAGCCACTAGAGAAGTCCTGATGCTTAGCGGGAAAAGTTGTAACGAAACCCCAAACTGTCGTTTTATGCTCGCCGTAGTTGGGCATTCTCGGTCCGTTTAATGCACCAATGTACGTCACTCATTCTACTGGAGCCGTTCGGTGCATTTCAGTGGGCTGCGCTGCCGGACCGAGCACGCCATGGCACGACCACACCAGCCGAGGACCTTACTTTGACCGCACCATGACCAACAACGTGTCGACGACCATCGGCCGGACGGTGCTGCTGCGCTGCAGGATATTCCAGCTCGACGGCCAGGCGGTGAGTGCGGGGCAGAGGGGGAGGGAGGGGAGGGAGGGGAGGGGAGAGCGAGAGAGAGAGAGAAATAGAAGGGGACAGGAAGAGAGACACACATGCCTACAAATATACAGACAAACCGACGGAAACACACAGGCATAGACGGGGAATGGGGACACACCCCACCTGATCACAGGCATAGACGGGGAATGGGGACACACCCCACCTGATCCTAATTTTAACGTCACGCCCAGTTCAAATGGCAGTGTACGGATAGAAATCACCGTTCGGCCATCATTTTCAGCAGTAACCCCCTATTCCCCCATTTAAACCACATGGAAGAGTCCGTCAGTGATGGCTACGGAGCAATTCTTTTGCTGTTGGCGGAAAACCTGGAGCGGCACTCCATCGCTTTCCTTTGATGTGCTAATGCTACCCGTTGAATATGAAGAATCTAAACATTCATCAGCATTCTGAAAACCAAAATCATATGCCCAGCTACAAAAGTTGCATGATGATCAGCTTTTCTCCTTCTATGCAACCCAATAGTGTGTTCTTATTGGATACATTCGGAAGCAGCACCCGAGCTATTCCCCGCCAATGAATACCAACGCACTAGCAGCGTCGGTGGTTTCATGAGCCGGTGCCATTTGTCAGCGACCGGTGGTCTTCCATAGTCTCCAGGTGTGCCTGGGTCGTTAGTCAAACCGCAAACGAATGCCAGCCGGCGCTGCGACAGCGACCCTTCACAGCTGGGCAGGATATGCAAATCAGCTATATACTTACTACCGGGACTCCCGGCACCCAAAATACAAAATCGAAATTAGGTATGTACATTAGGTAAATTAGGTATGAAATTAGGTGTAGTTCCTGCGTAGTTAGCACACGGCTGATGTCTTTCTCTATAAACTCTACTTGTTGAAAGTAATAATTGCGATGAGATCTTTAGTTATTATGAAATTATATGTTTGATTTCCATTTTATCATGATTATTCATTTTACATTTATTTTCTAACTATTGTTTTTTCTATAGATATAGCTCGAGCGTTTCAATGGACGGATTGGCAGAGCCGGTGCCCACGTTGCGTAGGTACACCACAATGACATAATGCATTGTGTTTTAACTACAGTGCTGATACCTCTATGAAGCTCTTCTAGCAACACATCTGCTTCTGTCTCACGCCTAAAATAACTGGAAATGTTCTGGGGAACGATCGACCGTTTCTAATTTCTTTAATGGCTTGTCTGCGTGTGTGGGTTGGCTTTCTTTTTCTCAGTCCAAGTTTTCCGGTTGGTCGCTGATGGAATTTACAAAGTGTGTCGAATGCATGCGGAATAATAGCAGTGCCTGGAAAAGAAATTGATGGAGTGGTTTCTACTCTGTAAATATTTGTCCTTTCTCCGATTTATGGCTTTATTTGCAGTCAAACTCACGAAGCTAGCACATGACCTGGATGCAGATTCGTCCTACGTCAATAGCGTCGTCATGCAATTAGCGTATCGTATTTACCATATTTTCACCAGAAGAAGCTATCTAACGAGAAACGCATGGCAGTGCAGAGAAAGATGAAAAGGAAGACTCGTTTTTTTTGAATAATTTTATTCACTAACAAATTCATTTTATGATAAATGCAGACAAATCGACATGAATAGGTATATGTAAGTATGTCCTTGCGTTTTCACTTTTCTTTGGCTGTTTCACACACATTTCACGATTCACGTAATCATTAACAGAGTTTGTTTTAATGCCATTATCCATCAGTTTTTTATATTTGCCCCTTGGCATCATTGAGCCAGTCGTTCACGCCAAATAGACTACACAGGCTGCTCCTCTCGCTGTATGAACATCGGCCGACAGCCGAAATTGCTTTCCGGTAAATTGGTATTTCAGCCTATTGTCGACCAGTGATTGAGAAGACGTGAGATTACTCGGGCGGCCACCTCACGAATTGATGCTGCGATTAATGTCTGAGGCAGCCGGCGGCCTCATTGATGGCACGCACTGTAACGCCGGGCACGGCATCACGCGATCGGTCCGTACGAAAAACTTGTTCGGCACGCGGCTCCAGACCGCAGTCGGCAAAACACCTCCGCGCAGCAGAACCGACGCGCACTAATGGCCCTCCTTTCAGTGGACCGACTTATACGGTGCTGAACTGCCCGTATTGCTTTTGGTCAGCTCACAAATCACGGTGGAGTGTTTCAAAAGACGGTGGATCGTTTCGTTCATTGGTAGCGATTAGGGTCGCTACTTTCTGCTATTTGTGCCTGACAACACGTTTAGAGGGCGGCACAGGAAAATTTATGTTGTAGATTACAACTTTTTACATAGGCCAATGGGAGTTCCGTGCGTTCTTCGCCTGTGATGTATGGGCAATATTGTTAGTCATCAGAAATGCAGGGTTGATGTTCCCGTTGAAAACATGGATATGTTTGAGCTATGCCTTCCCATTAGGCTGGACAGCATCAATAGACAAAGCCAACAATCTAGGAGCCGACTGGCCGAAATGGGGAAGGAGCTGCTGAGCTTTCTTTTGGCGAGGAATGGTGTTTCATGGCACACTCTTCAGCTTCGAGAAGGGCGCAGTTTTACGGACAAGTTGAGTGAACTTTCTCAAATCATGAGAAGGTAGGTACCCGATCGTCAAATATATCTAGCATAATTCTTAAATAATGAGTGATGCACAGTTCAGAGCTCGTCACCTGTATTTTAACAACAGCTTTTTCATAATTCAAACATTTAAAGCATTCCCCGTCTTGCATCAGCGAATTTCCGCACAGCTCCGTCTCATCGGCTGCGCAGTGCTCCCGTCTCGAGTCATTTCGTCCCACATTGGGGCCATCTGGACTTCCGCCTGTCGTTGTTAACTGCTCGAATGGCGTCCTTCACCGGTTAATAGCGAAATCTTGACACGCGTCAGTCATGGCCGCGGAGGTGGATCGCTCTCTCGCCGAGCGCTTTGTCCATCCGCGGCGGAGCTCGGTCCCATTCAGTCGGGAAACTCGTCCTGTGCTCTCGTTACGGTTTCGCTCGCCGCTGCCAGCGGTGCTGCCGCGCGCTCTCCACTTCTACGGGACATTACCCTTCGCACGACGGCGGCGGAGGCGGCGACGACGAGGTCTGGCCGGCACATGGCAGCGCGGCCGTGTCAAGCAGTGGTACCGTTACCGTATTTTTCAGTAAATAAAATCTCAAGATAATTTTTATAGCATCAGTAGCCCTCGCACCATATCGTAGGCTTCCTAACGACTGGTTTAACTTCTTAAGCAATATTTTTTGCCTAAATCTGGTCTCATTACCATGACACAGCCAAGGCTCATCAACACCACACCATATGCAGGCGCAGCGTCAACCCCTTACTCTGCGATCTCTTCTGACCCAGTGTGCACAAAAGGCGGTCCAGCAGCGGCCCTAATATTGGATTGTCGGTGCTCGCGGCCCGCTCGGCCGGTCGGCCGTCAGCCTGGCGCGCGGCTCGCTCCGTCAGCAGCCGTCACCGAGTGTCGGCCGTGTCGACGGCGCGTCTTTATGTGACGACTTGGCTCGTTTAGCTGTGCCGCGGCGCCGCCTCTCCTCGACGCCTGAATATTGGGCCCAGTTAATGTGCGCCCATCAGGTCGATAGTCGGGCCACCGCTGTGCGTCAGGCGACATTCAGGCTGCGCCAAAGAAGGGATAACAATAGCGGAATACCGAACCGAGCGATATAAAGTGAAAACACAGTGGCCCTCCGGTGCATTGCATGACATTGCATTGGGCATTGTATTTGCCCGAATGGAAATACATTTTCACTGCTACTTGTTTAGCAGAAAGACTTGTATCACAATTCGCAGCCACTTTGCTGATAGGTTCAGGCCCGCTGCTCCTACAATACTGATCGCTTGATGCTGAGGCGTCTCAATACTGAGGCGTCTTAACCCGCGCCCCACTGGGGGGGGGGGGCTATTTATAGCCCCCCTCCCGTTTTTCTGCAATAACTTCCAAACCGCTTGACGTATCGACGCCAAACTTTCAGTACCTTTGGCTGCATCAATTTGACACCTTGTGTCAAAATTTGAACTTCGTACCTACCATAGGTCGGCCGGAAATGACGTCAGAGGGACGTCATGTTCGGCCGATTTCGACGCAAAACATTGAACCACGGCAATCGCTCCCAAGAGCTCAGTTTTTAAGCTAGATCCAATTTCTTTGCATGAGAGGACTCAGAATAGACTGCGCTATCAAACTGCTATCTCGGATTTTCGAATTTTTAAAAAATTCGGAAATTTTATATAATAAAACTCAAAATTTATACTTTTACATTTTTTTCAATTTTTTTTTTGACTTTTCGAAAAAACCGGAATATATGTGATAGAACACATTATTATGACTAAGTCTAGCGAGTTTTAGCTAAATATCTTCAAAAATGGCCAAGTTATACGCATTATTGCAAAAAATTAACAATTATTAATTTTTCAAATCAATTTTTCAGCATGAATTTGACATCGTACGCCAATATAAATAGCACCATCGTGCTCCTGAGCTCAAACTGCATCTAATAGACACCTTTTGTGTTGAAAAATTTTAACTTCAAAATTTGACCTTTTTTGACCTGAAAGTGACCTGACCTGAGCTAAATTTGACTCAAAATGACCTCGAATGACACAGACGACATCAAATTCGAAATCTCTGACCTAAATGGACCATAAAACATGTGTCACGTGACCGACGGATGATATAATATTTCCGTGACCTGTGATGACCTGACCTTGACCTGAAAATCAAAGTACAAGTTTGGTACCCTCAGAGTATCTAGAGCATCTGTTCACGAGTGTGTGAACCAAAAATGAGCCTGTTCTGACTTGTAAGACGGCGGCCAGAGCCCAAAACGTGAAGAAGCCAGAATGCTAATAATTTTTACTTTGACCTGACCTGTGACGTCATCGGTGACCTCGAGGTCAATGAAATTAGGTTTCGCTCGACAGTTTTTCCCGGGCTATCAGACGCCGTTTGAATTTTGATGATCGGCCCAGTAGTTTCGGAGTTAGGAGGGGGGGGGCTATGAATAGCCGCCCCCCCCCCCAGTAGGGCGTGTTATACGCAGACCCCAGTGGGGCGCGGGTTAAGCAATGCTAATGTAAGCTCAATACAAGGATTGTGAACTATGGTACGCATTTTAGGAGTTTTTTTCAGCTTTTCCTGTTTGGCATCAGAAAAGATAACCACGGTATATCGTCTTCACATTCACCAGCCTAGACATTCCCAAGCATAATTACCTACCGTCATGACTGCAAGGCGTTTTGCAGCTAAATCCCCGGATCGAGTACGAGGTGCCACGCGGGATGCCGCGAGGAAGCAGTGATTTAGCATGAAATCCAGGCCGGCTCTAATTTAAAAACTGGACATCCGCGAAATTACTCTGCGAATCTGGAGATAATATATCGTCCGCATTTGGCGCCTCTTGGGCGATCTTTCGCGGACCGGCTATACAGACGTCGGACAGCTAATTCAGCCTCTAATATTACATATATACGGAGCCGAGTCCAGTTAGCCGGCGGCTGAAGTGAGCAGATTACAATCTGCGCGGCCGATTATAGTAGGCGAGATGCGGTGGTGCGGGGCCGTTCCGGATGGTACGGGGTGCCGGCTCACGGAGGGCGTGGGCTCGCTCCGGGCTGGCGCGGGGTCTGTTCCGGGCTGAAGTTGGAACTGCCCCAGCCTGGTGCTGATCCCGCAGCGCGGCCATGGGGAGAGGGGCTGCTGATCCGACCACCGAGTCCGTCAGGAGCCGAGACCGAGCGCGCTGCCTCAGATCGATCACCATACCGGCGCTGGAGGGACGAAACTGGCGCGGGGGTCCTTACGGCGCGCCGTGTTACAGCGGCGCCATTTAGCCCGACAGATTGGAATTCATATGTCAGTTAATACACACACTTTTCAAAGAAATGCCACTCGTAACATAACTTTCACAAGCGACCCTGTAGTAGCTAGATTGCATGGGTGTCATGCCTTTGTCAGATTCAAATGCTTCCTTTTAATGCATTAACAGCGCCAATAGCAAAGCTACGAGCGTTTCGGACTATGAGAGGCCTGATCACCTGGTGGATGCTACCACCATAAAACCAAACTCGGCCCGAAAACTTCCATTTCATGGCAGCGTGCATGTCTAGTAAGTAATAACCAAACTAGTCGTAAAGTTGGACCATGAAGCTCAAGCCTAAAAGTCACCGCGAACGAAGTTGAGCTCGGATGTAAGGTCAATAGTACGCGTGGGTGCCGATATCAACACATCAAGAACCTGGCGGATAATGTGACACTCCAGTATTGAGGGGAATACTCATTTTGACCTTTTGTGCTCGACTTTTCACTCGTGACGTTGCTTCAGCTGATTTCGTATCACTAAGTAGGTACTGGTCCGGTGGATCTGATACACGCAAAAGGGAGCCCTTGGGGCCATGACAAATTTGAGACGCATGATCCTTTACTACTAAAGTCTAATTTTCAACATTTCGCCTAGCCCTCGTACCTACATAAACGAATCCTCGGGCCGGCCGGCTTTTTGGCTGCAACCTTTCCCTTTCGGGCCCGGCTGGGGCTGTCACGAGTCACGACCCAGTACTCACCATTAGGTGACTGGAGATCACAAGCTCTGCACTTAAATAGCTACGTAAGCTCTATCCTGACAGCAGAGAGCTGTTGCGAATGGCTCTCAGTCCAATCCACACGACCGCATTTAGCGTTGAGCGGACTGAAGCGCTTCGCCGCCCGCGACGCCGGCCGGTTGCCTGGATGTATAGGCTGTGCCGCCGCGCTCCAGTACCATGCGGGTCAGTATACCAATACAGGCTCTTGACTGAAGCCTGCCCTGAACGCGCCTGTTATTTTTATCGGATGAAGATTTCTACGATGAGATGCGTCCAAATAATAGTGAATGTAGAGTATAGACTTCTATAAACCATTCGATCCCCACTTGAACTTCAAAGTAACAACGTGAAAGCCTTGTCACTCTGACATGCATCACACATCGATGTGATTCCAGTCGCTACAATCATCCACTATTTTTCACATCGATGTTCATCTGTCCGCAGGTATCGTGGATCAGAAAACAGGACCTACACATTCTCACACTGGGAGCCTACAGTTATACAACCGATGACAGATTCAAGGTAAGACGTTTATAAATGTTTTCCGGTGATCTGATACCGCCAACCACCACTCAGAGGCGGCGATTGCCCCATTTTTATCCCTGGCGTTTATTATCTAGTGACATTGAATAAACGGTGTAATGTGGGTCGAGCACGCTTCGTTCCCAGGCCCGTGATACACTCTATCAGGCGGAGTATCTTGGATGCGTGTCGGTTCGGGTTCCCACCTCCACTTACGGCCTCGTAAAGCTAGTCGTATCCGCCGGCGCCGTAAATTGAAAATCCTTTCCCCAAGTCAGAGTAGCCGGAAAAACAGGCGCCGAATGACGCTGTGGAGGATGCCGGAATGACCGCGGTGGCCGAGGAACTCTTTAAAATCCAATCATCATCACCATTAACCCGGCCGGTGGTCCTCCTGCCGACCCTAAAATCGCCGTACTTGGTGGGGTGCAAACTGCAAACATCCCGCAGGGTGTAGTCTGGGCGGCGAGCTCCGCTTGGAGCGCCCAACGACCAGACTTGGACCTCCAACTGGCCGTTACAGAGGGCGCGGAGGCTTTTCATGGTCACTTCTGGAAGTCCCAGCGGACGCAAATACAGTCTACGACCGATGCACTTGTGGTCCTTTGGCGACTTACTTCTCCGTAAAGGTAGCAGAAATAATGAGAGAAAAAAGAACGGCTTCGAACGGAGATAGCCTCAACCACTCAGGCTGCAGACATTAAAAAATTGCGAATGAAAATCAAAATGCTTCAGCTCCTAGTTTACCATAGACTTATGAACGAGTTATTTTAACATTGAAAAGGCTGTTTCAAATACTAGCAAGGCGTGTTGGCCAAGGGCTGCAAACACTGAATTATGCCGGCGGCGCCGGGCCGACTGCGTGCGGAGCCTGTCAGGCCGACCACGGTCGTATCGTGTGACGACACCACCCCTCGTGTCCGGCGCCCCGCCCTCTCTATAATGCGCTATTGATTACAGACACAAATCATACATGGGCCATCGACAGTGGTTGTGATTAGTGGTGTGGCGTGCAAACGGCCGTCAACAGACCCCTTTCACAGGGACCGACGACAGCGGTCCGGCCGTCCCCCAAACGTGGGCGGCGCTGACCTCTGCGCCCTGTTATTATTGCCATCTTTAAAGTATCACATTGTTGTCTTCATAAGTTGGGATCCATATGGCAGTTTTATTGCTCTCTGGATGTGAAATATGAGAAGTTAATGATGATGTTTTTGTGGTATCGTATATTTTTATTTAAATACATTGCTTGTTTTTGGTTCCTCATTTCGCCGACCCTTTTGTCACTGTCTGAGCTCCACTCCTATTGGGTCTCGAAACGTTCTGAAGGTCCTCTATTTTTACATTATATCTCAATGTCATAGTGCTGAGGACTCTAACCTTATTTTCTCGTGTGCTGTCGAGTCAGAGTTTGTGTCAGAGAGGTCGTGCATCTTGTGTCGATTCCCTGCGGGCTCATAACTCGGCCGTCTCCCTGTGGCTGTCAGTTGTCCGTTCGCTCTGAAACCGGTCCTGCCGGGACCGGGCTCCTGCGCTCGCCGGTGCCGGTAACGGCAACAGAGCGGGGATGGATGAGCTGCGATTGGTCCAGCGCATGCACGCAATGGCGATTGGCCAATAGAGGAAAGAGAATGAGGGGTGCGGAGGGAGATGCGTAGACAGCACAGCGATGGAGTGGTTTTCGGCGTGACGCCCTCTAAGGGATGTCGAGCCCCTCCCACTGTCTGCTGTCAGCTCCTCTCCGCCACTCCCCCGATGGGCACTTCGGGCGACGGTGCTGTCTGTCTGGACATTGTCTGGACGGTACACCGGACAGCAGACAGCACACCAGACGGTAAACAGACAGCAGATACGGATAGCAGACACCGACAGACGGCACAGGCAGCGCACACAGACAGCAGACACCGACAGACAGACAGACAGACAGACAGACAGACAGACAGACAGACAGACAGACAGACAGACAGACAGACAGACAGACAGACAGACAGACAGACAGAGGACTGACTGACTGACTGACTGACTGACTGACTGACTGACTGACTGACTGACTGACTGACTGACTGACTGACTGACTGACTGACAGACAGACAGACAGACAGACAGACAGACAGACTACATCCTGGAGCGGCGACAAGCGGAACCGATGGCGTCGATCGCGCCGCCGGCTGGCGCCGATGTGTCACGACAGCCGGGCCGGGCAAATGACGGCGTTTCTGCAGACCTCCTTTATTTGAATACATATTTGTAAATACTTACATAGAGTTCCTTGCTTGCTTTTCGATCTCTTGTTATTTAGGTATGCTTCTCGTTGCGCAGTGCGCACATTACGTAATGAGAAAAATCGTTGCAATTGTAGAAAGCGTAGGAGGTGCTAGTATGACATCAGTGGATTGTTTCTGGCAACCTAAGTGCGTGCCGTCTGAAAGTTTTTCAATCTTGGGCTTGTTGCGTAAAATATGTCACACAACTCTCAACAACTTCAATCTTAATTACGTTGCAAAATATAGCGGATGACTCCTCTGTCTATAGTTTTACTTTCTTCCATTCTCATTTCAGAATATTACGAGCAAAGTTGCGTAATCACACCGACACCTATTTCACCCGCAACATGCTTGCATCAAAGCAAGGTGCGCAGCATTAATCTCACTGAACTAAATGACATCCTGGCGTGTTCCGTGTTAGCTCTGTCGGCAGCAGACCTCCGAGTCTGCTGTTTCGGCTCATCCGCCCGTGCGCTATTTTTGACAGCCGCCCACCTTCCGGTATTTATCGTCCAAAGAGAGGCTCGTTCTGCGCCGCTGGCCCTGCCCGGTATCTAAATAGTGTCTCTCGGACACAGACAGATTAACGAAGTGTTTCTCTCCGCGTCAGGCGTCCCGATTTTGTCGGTGTCAGCGAGGTCGGAGAAGGCGAAAGCGCCGCCCGTTGTTATAATGGATAATGAAGCGGCGTACAGAGGAAGCGGCGCATACTATCAATGGAGTGAATCGCAAAATGTCTCAGTGGCACTGCGTGGATGACTGACAGTCCTTGAAGCCCATTACATGGTGATATCCTGTAACAGTGTGAGGCATCTCAAGCATCTCGTATGATCAAGGCTGCAAAGGTTTGTTTGCGTTTGGCGTATTGCCTAATACAGGCATTGACACCAGCTAAGGTAATGACAATCCACCTATAAGCATGTTGCGAAAATGGAACAGTCTTATGAGTCACAAGCCCACACTAGGCACAATTTTATAAAACACAGAATAATGTGGCTCATGCACAGTTCATGTTATTTTGAGCGCCTGTCTATGGTCTGCAGGAAATCAATTGAGGCGGCAATCTGTTCACATTGAGAAGTGTGAGAACAGCTGCAATCTGTCAGTCACGGCTAAATGAAAACGTCACGCTCGCTCAGAGCAATTGTCGTATTTCACGGCTGAAATGAGTCGTTAATTATTAGACGTCAACCTCCCAGTAAATCTGACGGACTGAGCTATGGCCTGGCCGAGCAAGGCAGCTCAGACCACCAGGAGTACGGAACACGTTCAGGTTCAGTGTGACAGGCAGTGACAAGAAAACGGGACAGCTATTTACATCCTACGGGGATTTCTCTTGTTTTATCCTGTGCACTTAAAAATCGCGCCTTTTTGGTTTGACTCAACGTGTGACTTTACGGAGCTTCATAAAGCCACAAATCTTGGAATCACTCAATGGCAGGCAGAAGAATCAACTGCAGCTATCACGAACTGATTCCACGAATTTCCTAGTGACTCTCTGGCCGTTGTCAGTCAACTGTCATGCCCGCGCCTCCAGCCTGGGAACGTCTGACTGTGATCCAGACAGTAGACACCGCTATCGCTAGACTCGTCCCAGACACAACGACCGCTTCTCACAGCAGTAGCCGCGCGGCCGACCGAGCCGACGGGGCCATCCGGGGACACTGGGCCTCACACGGTGACAGACTGTGACCTTCCGGAGCGGCCGGGTCACCGGGCCGGCGCGCGCCCCTGCGCCGGCCCCTCACCGGGTGACCGAGTGCCTCCTTCCGGCCTAGTGCGTCCCGTCACGGAGGATGGCGGTCCGGACGGCCCGCGCGGCGATCGTCGAGAGCCGGGTCCTCCAGTGGTCCCGGCTGGACCGCTGCCAGAGCTCAGCAGAGACGCCCGCCAGACAGCCGCGTGTACTACAGAGATGGGGCAAAAACGGAGAGACAGTGGTTCTTGGGCGCGAGTGGACGACAAAAAAGGACGGCGTGTTGTCTTGCTGCTTATTCAGCACAGATCACAAGAGCCGGGTTGTCCTCGCATCGCGATCGTGATCAGCTGCATTGTTGTTGGATAAACATTAGTAAAAAGTATTCATTACCTAATTCCATCGGAACGCAAAACTAAACAAGAGGGCAGTGCCTGATATCGCTGCCTGGTCAACGAAGCATAGGAAGTAACCCTCGCCCGCACATGGGGGGGGGGGTTGTCACCCCCCCCCCCCCCAGGTAGTCTTTCTGCTCTGCACTCAACATTTTTAGAGCTAGAAGGCTGATTTTTCGTATAGCTGCTCGTCTATCCTTTCTTGATGTCAACTGAAAATTTCAAGTTTCTGTGATTTTTGGTTTCGGAGACATGACCTTGTTTTTCAGGTCATGTCATGACCCAAATGGCCAATTCTCAACATCTTGCGTTTGCCATGGGCCTTGTGAGCTTTTGACACCCTGATTTCGGCCTTTTTTGTCAGTCTTACCTCCCACCTATCATGGAACATGTTGTTCGACGATGTACAGGGGTCAAGGTCAGGGTCAAGGTCAACCTAGGTCATCTAAGATAATTGCGTTTTAGGCAAGCTGAATTTACTTTTTTTGAAGTTTTTTGACTGCATTTTTGGTAAAAGCTTCTCAGATCATGATTTCATGTAATATGGACCCAAAAACAATCGGTGCACACATCAGTATACACACAGACACACACAGACATACAAACACATATAATTGACCTTGACCTTACTTGACCTGAAATGAC